TAGCTTCTGATTGGTTGACTGAATGACATTAAAAGTGGAGGTGGTCTGAAACGGGCTTTGAAGGCTAAGGCTCAGTTTACACATAATGAACGTCTGGCAGAGACGAGGCGCTGACCTTTGCCCCTTCCGTGTGAAGTGGGCCTGAGGTCCAAAAAACGCCAGAATGGACCTGCTCTAAATTTGCACGTGTTTTCCCATAAGGAATGAGTCAGAACTCTTGCAGCTATATCACTCCTATTCATAGATCAGTCGAAAGCTTTCGACACTGTTAAGCCATCCCTTACTCTTGCATCCTCTAGAAGACATTGGCGTCCGAGGAAATTAACTGAAATTGAAAAGTTGACAACATACTGAGTAGCGAAGAGAATACCGAGTATGGTTTACCACAAGGAACCGTTCTAGGTCCTATTTTTTTAAGTATATATATATATATAAATGGTTCATTTGCGCTAGAGAGTGGTGGTGACATCATTGGATTTGCAGATGACACAGCCATATTATATGAAGACAAGAGCTGAATTTCTCTTAAGGAAAAAGTAGAAAAAGGCTTCAGTCGTATCAAAACTTGGTTAGAACACAAACTCCTTACANAAATCGACATACAGAGCACCAATTACCAGGCTTCAAAAAGAAGTTTCAAGCGTTTTTTGAATGTCATTATCGTGTAAAGTGTGAAGTCACGAGGTCTTTTCGTGGATATTTGTCATATTCTACTGAAGTATATTTGGGTTGATTATAATATAATCTAGTGCACTATGGCTGAATGATGGACAGCATTATATTGACCTTTTCCCAAGACGTTTCGTTTGAATTATATTTCCGTCTTTGAATGTACATACAAAATATGATGGAGATTTTGAGTGTGGTTAAAAACATCACTCCAAAGTTTCGAGAGGGCTTCTATTTCAAGTTTGTGTCTGAAAGTTACTTCTTTGCACAGATGACCTTGCAAGGTGGATAGCTTGTAATATCCTCCAAAGCACGATGGACGTTCTTCACAGTTGGTGTCTGAGGGGGCAGATACCAACCCCAACGAAAATGTATAATCCTCTTCACCAGGAGGAGGAAACGACACTTTCCCTCAATGGTGAGGTGGTCATTGCATTTGAAACGGAGGTGAAATATCTTGGCATTGTCCTTGATGAAAACTCATCTGGAACGCTCACTTGGAAAAAGTTTCACACAAAGTCAGACTTTCCCTATGGACATGTCGAAGGATTTGTGGTGAAACTTGGGATGCAGGTCCCAAACAAATCCATTGAATTCATCTGATGATTGTCAGACCAATGATGGCTTATGGTGCAATCGCATGGTGGCCAAAAGCTCTACAAAAAACGGCCCAGGCGAAGCTATCTGTCTTACAGAGACAGGCTTGTCTGGCCATCAGTGATGCCATCATTATCACACCGTCAGAGGCCGTGGAGATACTTCTAGATCTACCTTCTCTCCACATTTTTCTCGAGAGAGAGGCTAGATGGACTGCATACATACTTGCGTACATTGCCAATTGCACAAATCAATTCAAAAAAGAGTTCAACAGACTGTTGGTTGACACTGGAAGTTACAGCATTCTGGAAATGACCTCTGAATTCATGCCTGCAACTGTCAACTACGAACTGCCTTATAAAGTCTGAGTAGAGAAGCCTGGATCCTCCGAGAGAAAGAAATATTAAAAGCAGATAGTTGTTGGTTCACAGGTTGATCAAAAACACCTTCCGGTTCTGGTGCAGGTGTTTTCAGTCGCAGGCCCAGGACAGAGGTATCAACCTGCCTAAGAACCTATGCGACTGTTTTACGAGCGGAAATTTACGATATTGAATTGTGTGTGGGGAGAATAAAAAAATCGAACCCCATACACAAATCAATAAAAATATTCTTGAACAGTCAAGTGGTGTTGGAAGCTCTTGACACATACCGAGCAACGTCTAGGTAGCAAATTGCCTTAAGCGGATCTCCTCGATAGAAAGACTCAACACATTGTCTCTGATCTGGATTCCTGGTTATATTGGCTTGAAAGGCAATGAGGCTGCTGATTCCTTTGTAAAGAAAGGTGCTGCAAGCAGCTTCATTGGACCAGAACCTGTCATTGACATCACTTCAGGCTTTGCTAAACAAATATTGAGCACCTGGATGGCAAGAAGATTTATGGACTTCTGACAGAACCTTCATAGATTGGCTCACTCCAAGGCGTTCATTCGCCCTTCGAAGCAACACTTGTTGGACTACAGTAGGAATAAACTACGATGTCTTACTCCTAGTTTATGAAAACGTGAGGTAACGAGGTAAGGTAAGGTGAGGTAAGGAAGTTGAAGCATTGAGAAAACACACTTGCGTTTTAGATAAAAAGTAAGTTAAGGTAACGTCGGTAAGGCAGAGTAACGCAAGGTAACAAGTCGGCTATTTTCAACTTTCTACGTTGCGTTCTTACCTCCGACCAATCAGAAAGCGCCATACTACAAACTTTGATGGATACATCCGAATGGTGTAAACGTAATGTCGCCAGATAAACTTAAACGTCACATTGTGAAATTTGATTTTTCTTTCGATGGATGTAAATACAAAAATTACCGCGATCGTGTCGATGATAAGTGTGTATCTTTAACTCAAGAAAAAGAAACAAAAGGAAGGAGGTTTATTGTTAGACCCATTCTGAGAAGCAGAAAGACTCAGGTGTACACAAAAATGAACAAAATATGTTTTGAACATTTAGTGGAATTATTAGCGCCTTCATTGTTGAAAAAATATATGGATCGATAACTCCAGAAGAAAAATTTGCTATAACACTCCGTTAAAGTGAATTGTTGGAATTGTATCTAACAAAATTGTTCAGTTACTTATCGCAAGAAACTTCGCAACAGTCGAAGGCGTGGGCATATCATTTGGGAAAGACCACAATCCATAAAATCATTAAGGAAATTTGTGGTGTTCTGTGGATAATTTTAGCCCCAATATATCTTTGACATTGCTTCTATGGTAGCCCTATCATTTTGGCAACCACCTGCCATGCCTTCTCCTTCATTGATTCATTTTAATTTTTTCTATGAGAAATTATTGGGTATTGTTCTATTAATGATATAAAGTATGCGTCTTTCATAATATTATACAAATAAAAGTTATTATTTGTTTCATATGAATGATTGCTGTTGTCAAGATTATAGAAATGGAATGTTATGTCAATATTTGTTTATGCATCCCTGCCAACCCAAAAATTATCAAAACCTATAATTACTATGGCAATTTTTCATACTTTACGTTTTCGTGAACGTCAAAAAATGGATACCTTATTTCACCTCTCTGCATTACATTACTTCACCTTACCTTGCATTATTATAAACTAGGGGTTACAGGTCACTGTCATTTGAATCATCATATGCAGAGACTCGAACTGTCGGAAGACAGTGTGTGTATCCTCCGTTCTGAAAATGATGAAACAACAGAGCACATACTTTGTGCCTGCCCCGCTGGGGAAATAATCAGGTTTTCAGTCTTCGGTAGAGCCGTACTTTTACCATTTGACTCGCCATACAAACTAATCGGCTTTTTTGGGAAGCTTGGTTTATTCAGTCGAGAATGAATAGGTATGAGCCACAATAAACCCTTGTGTGTTGCGGTGGAGGGTCGAATAGACCCACCCACTCAGGACCTAACCTCACCTAACTTGAGTGCTTTTCCATAGTACCTATGTTCATTTTTTGAGTCACCTGCAGTTGAGGTCTTCATTAAACAGAAATATTTTGTCCAGTTATTCTTCGAATGAACTATTTACACCAAGAGGAAACTGATTTGAGAACCGTTCGTCGTGCCACATATATATATATTTTTGGAGCATAGGTAGATTATTGCATCAGTAAAGAGATCAAGTTCAGATCAGGATAACTTAATATGAGTTTCAACTTGAAGCGAAAACTAGAAGCATCCATTCATTTCAGTTTTATGTGAGTTTCATCCATCGTCTGTCATTTTTATTGTTAGGGATCGCAACATATTGTACTTAAATCCACGAATTGAGACATTTCCCCACTGACTTTTTGACTAATCCACAATAATTTGCGGAGTATTGAGAAATAGTAGCTCACCTATTTACCTGCAGTTGACGAAGGGCCATTTTGACTCACCTGAAATAAAAAAAACCATTAAAGTCAATTATTTTTTGGTATATGATGAAATTCAATTTGAAAAATGATTTTCCTTTTTTTGCATATCACCTCTGGATATTCTGTAGGACAATGACTGTTTTCTAGTTAACTAGCTGTTGCACCCCCGCAAATAACAATCATCAGATGTTAAAACTTGTGCAAACTATATAGGGATCAACCCTCTAACGTACCGTTTTTAGTGACGAGCGATGAAAATCTGCAACTTCTCAGAGCGGGCCATACACAGTATCCGGCGAAAGTGAACAATTGGGTTAGAAATCTTGTTCAACCTTCATTCACCAAGGAAAATCCATGAATATAACCGTTGAGTTATTGTTATTGAGAGTTGAGACCTCTCAATAACAACTAATTTGAAAAATTGAATTGATGCTTGTGGTCACATAATTCCGCCAGGCGAAGTCAAAAACTAATGAAACCCCACCATACTTCTTCTGAGTAATGCATTATTTGGAAGATAAAATGGTCAACGAGAGATAATAGAATGGTGACCATGATCACTCCATATACCGCTTATAGACATCTTCCTATGGAGCATCCAGAATCTATTGCCCATAGAAGAGAGCTTTGAATTTTGGAACATTCGAAGGGGAGAAGTGCAGACTCCATCACTGTTTTGAACACTTTCTTATTAGTCAATGGGCTATGCTTAAAGACTGGCAGTAGAAAAATCTAAAGAACTTCAAAATCTAAAGAACTTCAAACGTTCAAGCCAGTCTCGAATATACCTACACAGTAGGTTGAATGGACTGACGCCTATCAGAAAATGGTGCCAATTATGGGCACCATGGGTGCCAACAATTCATACGTGGTAAGCCCATACGATTCGGCTACGAAGTTTGGAGTATGAATACAAAAGAGGGTTACCTCATAAATTTCGAGGTATATCAAGGTGAAAGATTCGTTGGAAACGAGAAAGATGAGCGAGCTTTTGGAAAGGCAGCTGCTCCGTTTGTTGCTATGTTACGAGACTTACCTCATAAAAATCTACCCTATGAATTCTACCTAGATAATCTTCTCACAAGCATACAGCTTTTCAATTTTTTACGAATAAATGGATATTCTGGAACGGGCACCATAAGAGACAACCGGATTCCAAAACAGTGTCCTCTCAAATCGAAGGCAGAACTGAAAAAAACACCGAGAGGAACATTTGATCACTGTATTGCTAAAGATGTTGGTATCATTTTAGCTAGATGGGTAGACAACAGTATAGTTACAGCCGCTTCTACTTCATATGGAGTACAACCAACATGTAATGTAAAACGTTATTCTCAGACTGATAAGAAGGTGATAGAGGTATCAAGACCTAATCTTATTGGTCAGTATGATAATTTCATGGGGGGAACAGACCAAATGGATGAGAATTTGGGAAGATACAGAATATCAATTCGCGGAAAGAAGTGGTGGTGGTGTATATTCACTTGGATGATTGACGTGGCGATAATCAATGCATGGATTTTACGTAGAAAATCGATGGGTGTACATTCGGAACAATTATCATTCCGTAGAGATATTGCTCAAACATATCTGCATAAATATGGCGTGATGCCAAAAGTTGGTGGACGTCCTCCNTCATTCAGCAAAAACATGTCGTTGTCGTTAATCGTGAACAGCCAGTTCCTGCGTCAGTTGAATTTTATACGGGTGTAGGCCCAAGTCTGCGAGTTCTTATGCACACTCTCACAGACAGTAGCGATATTTTTGGCAGATCTTGCGTTTCATCGACGCAAGGGTGTTGGTCGATTGTTTATTGAATAAAATTTATAAACTACATCGTGAATAGTTCTCTCGGTAGGACGATTATGGGGCTCATATATCAAATCAAATTTATGAAATTCAGATTAGGAATCACGCATTGAAAGGTGAAACCTCGTCAATCCTTGGCTTGCACAAGTTTCGATTTCTGAGGGTTGTCGTTCATAGAGGTGCGCCAGCTGGTTAACGGAAAAACAGATTTTGAAAACATATTTTTCATAAAATTACAGCTTATTTTACAGAACTATAAATTATATCTATGGAGGATCGTGGCTATCTAAGCCGAGCTTGCGGTACATCAACGAATCCAATACATTTGCAAACTAAGATTAACCTACTAATTGGTTCTGGGAAATCTTAAATTCTTGATTGTGAGTGAGTCGCCATCGTGGAGCCTTTGCAATCTGGAAAGTGTGTGAACGAGTGTTATATATATCCTGAACAAATTTATTCGTAACACTGGCTGTCCATCAAATATATAAAAATGGATGTTTGTTGGTTGGTTGGTTGGTTGGTAAGTGATAAACTTCTACATCGCTCAACAGATCGTGATGAAACTTGACATGTATAAGTAATTTTTCATAGAAAAATAAGCAAAAAATAAAAAAGTATATATAAAAATTGAAAAATATTTCAAACCATATGACTTCACAACGTTTTGATTGTTAGTATCCACAATCGTCTTAGGATGATAACTGGACTAATTTCTACGAGAGATGACTGACTATTTTTAGGTCATACGAGCATATTTACCTATCGCCTCTTCCCTCTCACCGCTTAAACGGGAGTTGACCCCGTTTGGCGGGAGTTTTCAGTTTGAATACAGGTTTCCATATTTTTTCAATGACAAGACACAAATACTACAGGAAAATCCTTGAGGCACTCTAAGAGCGGTGCCTGTGCGAAAATAGCGATTCACATTGGATTTGAACCACTGGAGATTAGATTCATTCGAAAAAACGTTTTAAGAAAGTTTATTCCAGATTAACGTAGTTCTCCAAATGGAATAGTTTCTAAACAGTGAAGTTCAAGGTGTACTGAGTTGAACTTCGAAACGATCAGCGTATCTCTATGGTAGCTTTGCTGAATGTGTCGTTGGACAACATATATGTAGCTTCTTTGAAGTTCCTCTCAAATCTGTGTTTCTCCCTGTGGATGATCCCTGCTTGGGATCACTTGATGTTATTATGTTGATGTATCAAAACATGATCTGCTATTCCCGATTCGCTGGTTTCTCCTTTCTGTGCACTTTTCTTGTGCGGATTTTAAATGATCGGGTATCCGGCAAATGTGATTCTTGACCGCAGCCCGCTTTTGATGGCCTGATTTTCGTGAGGCTGTTACGAATGATATTTCCAGATTTGAAGCTGGTTCTAATGTTGTATTTGGACCCAATTCTTCTTATTCTTTTCGATAATCCTTTGGCGTAGAGAAGTACAAGCACTGGTTGTGACAGCTTCTCTTTCTTGCGAGACTCTTGATGTCTTCCAGCCAAAGTCTGTTCCATCATGACTTTGAAGTAACCATTCCGTTGAAGATCTTTTTTGATAATGTCTAGTTCTTTTTCGAAACATTCCTTCTTATTACAGAGCCCAAAAGAACGATGATGATTCATCTTTTGGTCTAATCCGTTTACCATCCGACAATTAAACGAACTGAGGGTCGAAGTTCTGACTCACCCACAATACTTCCCAGACCTCTCGCCAACCAACTACCATTCGAGAACTTTGATAACTTTATCATCAGTGGAACACTCCTGAATCAAGCCCAGGCAGAAACGGCCTTTGTCGACATCATCGAATCCCAACCACACTATATTAATAGTGACGAAATTGGTCGACTTATGTTACGTTAGCAAAAGTATATTGATTCACATGACGCATATTTCGATGAAATTGAGTACGTATTAAACAAAGCTGATATTTTCACTGATATATTACAGTTTGAAGAAGAACAAACGAACGAATAACAAATAAATCACGAACAAAAATTTTGAAACAACCTAATATCGATTTCAAAAACTACACCTGACGATTTGATCTCCACAAACTTCATTTGAAAAATATATCACAACATGTTTCGCTAAAACATTAGCTAATGTTAATAACCACAGATTTTTTGGAATGAACCCTAAAACAATTTCTAAGTATACATTTGTTCAGCATCACAGTTATAATATTTTTCAAATGAACACCATTGCTTCACAAAAAAAAGGAAAGCTGCTACACCGCTGTGATGAAAATTCATTCAAATCGAATATCTGGTACTTAGATGAATGTTCTTCATCACTAAACAAACCTCTTGCCATGAGCCTTGAATTGTATAGGTTGTGTAATAAAACCTGATAGATCTTCTCTATTTCAATATATTACTTTCCCAGTAATACATTATAGAAATGGTCAAAGAGCTTTGATATCGCAAATTCAAATTTAAATGAAAGGGTAAATCTAAAACTTCCTTCTGAAGAGAAAAATGGAGTGCATACAATGATGAGTACTTCAAAGGAAAACGACAAAAGTCCAATGAAATATTTATTTTCATTTCAACTAATCACAATAAATTTTTAGTAATAGTCATATGGAGGTTCCATATAACTATCTAAAATCATCTTCACATCTCTGAATTGCCTTGGATTTTCTCTTACCTCCAGAGTGTCATTGAAGTTGAGATAGAGTTTTGTTTACTTTATGGAAGATGAAAATATTCAGAAGAAATTGATAAATATCTTCATATTTTTCAGTTTCTCTAGCATTAAGTTATCGATGTTATCATATTTTTGGTATAACGAATGATACATATATTCAAATTTTCAGTACTCACAGATACTTCACGAAGTTGGTCCACATTTTAACGAATCGGTGAAGTGTCAACCCGTCTTCCTCTGGAAATTTGCTCAGATCAGAATTAGAGCCATCGTCCCACATATAATGTAAATCTTCAGCATGAGCCACTCTTCCAGCACCTAAAAACATAAATTTCAGCTAGCTCTTAAATAATTCCATTGAAAAAATATTAAATTAAACAAATTTTAACCAACATGTATATATTATTAATTTCTTGACCTAACAATATTTGCACCCAAGCTTGAATACTTTAGACTCCTTCAAGTACTGAATAGTCAGTTCTCCTGGTCGACTACTGTTAGATTGATGAAAACTCAGCTCTTCATCGGCACTTTTTTGGCAATCTTTAACAGACGATTTACCTAACTCTTGCAACAGCTTAACGACTTGATATCACAGAACGTGACAAAGCCGGTTCATCCTAATTATACAGTACGATGCAAATGTATGGAATAAATTCGATATTCACAAAAGGAGCGTCTTTCGGAAGAAATCCAAAAACAGGTCAACTTTAATTTTTTTCATTGATCTATTTTTACTTGTATTGTATTTCAGTGTTATTTCATTTCAGGTTTTTTTGCTGAATATAATTGTAATTTCCGGCTATTCTTTGTTAATGTTTTTTATTACTTCTTTCAGGGATTTCAAATCATTTCATGTAATATCAGACAATGCAAATCCGAACGGATGAAATTCATCATGAAACATTGTCAATCAACTTCAAACAGAAATCGAATAACTAATTTGTATAAATGATGTTCACGAACTGACATTGTCATGAAGCAGATTTGTTTTTTTCAGTAACAAGTTCATTTTTTCGAGGGCATCATGGGAGATATTTGCAATATTGAAATTTCAACGACGGCATTATTTGAAAAAACTATTATATAGATTCGGATGGAATTCAGGACAAGCACGTTCAACCACATCAAATTTCTGATTAGTTTGTAATCATAGGCTCAACCCAGGTATATATTTATGAGGTTTCCTTCCCTAAAAATTCAAATTTCAGATCATTGTTATTGAAAGAACCGAAGATAACATTGGTATCATACATGACCATCTATCTGACCACTATTCACGTTTTTCTGTCCAATAATTGTTCAACGAGATGGAATAAAAAGAAGACACCATCAGTTCTGGATTTCCAAAATTCGTCATTGAACAAAGGAACCTCTTCATAGACTGATACGTCTCTTAAATATTGGTCAGTGGTAATGAGAAAATTTGAGAGCATTTTAATAGACTGATACATCTCCCAAATATTGGTTGGTCGCAATGAGGAATTTGAGAAATCATTTTTATATAATCATTTAGAACACTTTATTTACCTGGAACGATATCTGTTGGACCTTGTCCCAACTTGCCGTAGTACGAAAATTGGTATAAATAAACAGGCACCTCAGAGGCTATAAGTTCTGCCTGTTTACAAATTGGAGTTATCATTCTGTTATCACTAGTCCACTGAAAAACAAAATGAAATTAATTTCTCAATTCAATTCATTTAGAATATGTTATTGAACAAATTAATTAACGTAATGATTGAGATCACTTGAAATTTTACGGAAGCATCCTGAGCGCAGATGACTTGTAATGTGCATCCATCTCTCTCCCCGTGTTACGCGTAGTACAATATATCGAGCACTGTAATATTGAGAAGTTAAGTAATTATTGCAATCAATATTGTAGTGAGCAAGTACTCGTATTTCGGAAAGCTGGTATAATTGAAATGTATGATAACTATAATTATCGATAGTATTTCTTTGTAGAACAACATTACAAACATTTAGGTTCTTTTTAAAAAGAGAAAAAGATAAAAAACCACATCAAAAGTACTGCTTCGTTCTCTCCTGTTCATATATGCCTCCTCACTCACAAGCAATTTTGGTGAAATTGGGGACACGTGTGCATCATTGTATTCATGCCACATGCCAGTATTTTGATTTTCTGCAATGCCCGTTGTGAGTAGTCCCACTGTGATTCAAAAGTGCATATAGATTATAATAACAAGGAGACGCATTGTCTGCTGCATAATTGCTCATATCTAATCTTCCAAAGAAATGTCTTTGGCAACATTTAATTTGCCTCTGAATGTTCCCGTTTGGGGGACTATTTTTAAATGAATTACTAAAATACGGGGTAACTTGCACCTCGAACACAATGGTTTTTCATCTTCATCCGGAGTTTTCTCTCTTGTGAAGAAATTCAAGCATTATGACAAACTCAATTGGTCAGTTCTTTGTGATATGGGGAGAGACAAATCCCAGAAAGCATCGAAGGTTACTGATGAGTATCCACACTGCGTGCGGATTTATGTGATGATTGTCAAACCAATGATCACTTATAGTGCAATTGCCTGGAGGCTAAAGGCTTTACAGAAAACGGCCCAGGCGAAGCTCTCTGGCTTACAGAGACAGGCTTGTCTGGTCATCAGTATCTGGTCATCAGTACCACACGTTAAGAGACCATTGAGATACTTCTAGATGGACTGCATATAGAATTGTGTACATTACCAATTGCACAAATCAATTTAATGCAGAGTGCAAGAGACTGTTGGTTGACACTGGAAGTTACAGCATTCTAGAAATGACCTCTGACATTATGCCTCCAACTATCACCTACGAACTGCCTTATAAAGTACTGCCTTATGAAGTAGAGAGGACTGGATCCTCCGGGAGAAGGAAATATTGAGAGCAGATAGTTGTTGGTTCACAAATGGACCAAAAACATCTTCCGGTTCTGGAGCAGGTGTTTTCAGTCGCAGACCCAGGATAGAGATATCAACCTACCTAGAAACCTATGCGACTGTATTTCAAGCAAAAATTTACGCTGTTGTGTGTGGAGAGATTGGAAAAATCCAAACTCATACACAAGTCAATGAAAATATTCTCGGACAGTCAAGCGGCATTGGAAGCTCTTGGCTTTTACCGAGCAATGTCTAAATTGGTAGCAAATTGTCAAAAACGACTCTCCTCGATAGGAACACTTAACAGATTGCCTCTGGTCTGGATTCCTAGCCATACTGGCCTGGAAGGCCAGGGATGGCCTTCCACAGTAGGGAATGTGGAAATAAACGCAATTCCTCGTATTATAACTATGAACTTGTTGGATTCTAGTAAACACATTTCTAAAATTGAAATACTTGTCATTGTTCAAATTTTTGATTCTTTAAAAATCGGTTTACAGAATGCTTTGCTTGGGATATCGCAAGTGATTTTTGCAATAAATACGTCTGGTGTTCGAGTGGAAACATCCCAGAAACATATACCATATCGTAATCGGGAGACAACTTGTGCATGATATAATACGAATAATTGTTCACGTAACAAAATGTTCTTAAGATTTCGGAACATAAAACATAATGAGTTCAATTGAAGGGGTTATATTTTTGGGAGTGATTAATTTTTGGGAAAGAAAGTTTTTGGCTTTCTACTACTCCATCTTGATACAAAAAAGGGATGAGGGAATCTTCCAAAAAAAGGAAGGAAGTAATCAATCAAAATAAGTAACTCTATACATGGATGTGTTGATCATGCAAAAAAGTAACTTTCAGACACAAACTGAAAGAAAGTCCTCCTGAAACAGCTACTTTCATATTTTCAAATTGATTACTTTCTTCCTTTCTTTGGAATATTCCCTCATCCCTTTTTTGTATCAAGATGGAGTAGTAGAAAGCCAAAAACTTTCTTTCCCATAATGAGTTCAATTTTGAGATCAAGTTGGTACAAGCTTCTTTCCAGTTTAAATCAGCGTCTATAGTAATTCCAAGTAATTTAACTGATTGAGTAGGCTCAATCAAGATTTCATCAGTTTTCATTGTTACAGTTTCGCATTGTTTTTGGTAGTTGTTGGATCGAATTATATTTGTTTCATTACTATTGAAATAGAGAGACTTCTGATCGTACCATGAAATGAGTTTACCAACCGCAGTCGTACACTTTTGTTTCAAGGAATTTTCAAATTTGTCAGAGACAAATATATTGGTGTCATCTGCATATCTAATGTTGCTTGAGACCAAGGAATATCAGTGGAACAGCTGTTGGTAACATTTTCAATTATGTTATGTTATGATCATCAAAGTTCTTAAGGTTTACTTGACTTTTTCAAAAAGAGAGAATATCCTTAGAGTATGGAGTTATGCTTGAAGAAGCTATTGTATAGCGAAACACGTGTCGCGGTTTTTTTAAAACCCTTATAGTGAAAATCATACAATAAACTGTATTGCATAACTTGAAGAAGCTATTGTATAGCGAAACACGTGTCGCGGTTTTTGTAAAACCGTTATAGTGAAAATCATGCAATAAAATGTATTGATTAGTTTTTCGATATGGATTTTCATCAAGTATCGGCCAGTTCTATTCAATTAAAAAAAAGGAAGTATGCATTAGCAAATCTTATAAAGAAGGGCGCCAAATAATTTCCATTTCGATTTTTCCATGAGTTTTGTACAAGGAACAACTTCCATAATTTCGGTAAGAGATTCTGATTCAAGATTTGAATTGGAAATTTATCAAAATTCGTCAAAGTCAAATTCGAGACCAATTTGTTTTGAACTGTTAATAATTATCTCCAAATCCTTCAATATAATGTCAATATAATCTCCAATGCATTCGTCGTCCAGATACTAACAGTTGAATTCTGAATTTAGTTTTATAGTTAGCTCTTGAATGGTCAGGCAGAAAAGTGCAGGTCTTAAAGGATCGCCTTGTTGGACATTTCTCTAAGATTCAATCAAATGTTCACTAAAATTAAAAAAACTTGAAAATTTATAGCATTGATATATAAAAGGGTATAGGTCTGGCAAATACTCTTGTGACCGTTGTAACATCAACTTTCTATCAATCGTGTTGAATGCGTTTTTAAAATCCAACTTGAGGAATATTTTGAATAACGAATTCAGATGTTGATGGATATATCGGCGTGCTGCATGGGCGACCGCTTCGCATCCTCTAGGAGTACCGAAACCAAATTGAATGGGACGTAACATACTAAGCAAGGTCTTCTTCAATTCAAGAACAACTTAGTTTGGCCACTAACCGGCGAAAGAAAGTATCGATGGCAATGGTACTTATTCCTCCGTATTTTTTTGTGAGAACACATATATCTCTGGATTTACTCTCCCAGATAATGAGAGATTACAAATATTTGTCACANTTCATTCGGGCTGGAATTTCCAATTGACGATTCGACATTGAAATGTTATTTTCTGAATTTGACATTGACGTTTTGTGAATTTTTCCATTATGAATTTTGAGGCCAGTTTTGAATCTGAATGATTTATGGCAAGTTGTACAAACATTGTCCATGTCGTATGATCGTTTCAGTTTATCATCACAAGCGGAATCCATCCGAATTGTTGAAAACAGGTGACATCTAGGTTTGCATATTACTGGAGTAAGTAAATGTGACGTTCATCTTCATGTCAGGGGGAAGCATACATAAATTATATAATTTTTTGGTATTGTTCAACTCGTAATGATTATTATTGTTTGAATATATCCATATAAGACACAGGTGTGTATATGGTTTCAGAGTATACTTGTTCTGTATCGAATTGTGTTTTTCTCTTCTGAAATACCTGAGAAATATTCAGCACATTCTCAAAAATGTTAACTCACACTGTGGTCTGAAAGAGTTACATTTGGAAAGAACTTCTGTAGAAGAAACATTCGAAACCGAATATGGTGAGTTTTCAATTCGAAGCGATTTTTGCTATTACTTGGCGGGAAAAAATTAAGAACAATTTTTTTTAGTAGGACTTAGTTTTAGAGATATCTCTAAAAGTAGACCAGCTAGAATCTTGTATCAACGTGAAGACAATTAACAACATAGAACTGAGATACGAAATCATACAAATACAAATCTCATGATTCAAAAACATGGAGCAACTTTGGCATTTCAATCTGAATGGTTTCCGACACCTTGTTCATTAAAAGGTAATCAAAACTAATTCCAGATATACTGGCTATGAGTATATACACAAAAATCTCTGCGAAGAAGTTGATTTAGTTGATGTTATGTTGTCACTTACCCTGCAATATGCAGTAATATCTTTTTGAAATGATGTTTTTGTATACACTTTCCTCAAGCGTTGTCCAGCGATTTTTCTATTTTCTGGAGACATATGGATCAAATCTGGTACGACTTTTTCAGGATTGTTATCGAGTTCAGCCATAACAGGGATGTCTGGATCTGAAATTTTATATTCGGTATGTGGTCAACTCTGAAGCATATTTAGTATTCTTAAAAATAAATAGAATATCAATGAACTTATAAAGGAGAGGTCGTGAAAAATCAATCGTTTCAACTCTTGAATTCTTCGTGAAGATAAGAAACAAAATCATCTGGAAGTAGGAAGATGAAATGAACAATTTGAGAAAATCATTTAAAATAGATGACGATGACTACCTTGTGATATCTGCTTGAAAGCGAGACCCTATTACAGACGCTAGAGAAAAATTACTTTTTTGAAATTTCCATCCATATACGATTGAAGAGGGGCGTAGGAGAAAGGTCCTTTTTCTTCTATAACTGTACCACTCGCCTCACTACATGCCTTAAAAAAAAGATAGCTCTCAATATTATTTTCTGGATTTTCGATATCAAAAATAAAATAAATTTCGAGTATAATAAGAAAAGTCATGCAAAAATGAAATGAAAGAAATATTTAAGTCATATAATATTCAACTGTTACATCATCTCACGTCAAAACATTTATATTTCAAAAAAAGATACTATCGAATAGTTTAATTTTTTAGCTGTCTTCTCAATACTACGACCATCATTCAATAAATAACCAATTTTTGGAAAATAAAGGTTTAGGCTTTCTGCTATTTAATATTCATATGTGAGAATCTTTTTTACATCCTTTCCCAAAAATTATTATCTTCTAAAAATGAACTCCTTTCAATTCAAACAAGATTCCTATGGCTGGGATTGAATCAAATGAGCGAATGAATGTCATTACGTGCTGTCATTGATGACATGAGTAGATTGAACTCATTCATGACAAACACATTTCACATGCAGTTCTCGAAATGAAAGAGTTTTTAAGTACTGACGTTCGAAGTGCACTGAGTTGAACCTCAACCTCAAATTTCTGATATTTACCGCTCTTGGTGGAATCAAATGTGCCAAGTAACTTGAACACTTCCCGTTAAAGTGTCTATAGAAGAGAGACGAATTTCCAACCTTTCTTCGATGCTCCAGGATGTCAAGGTTGCAAGAGATGTTCGCGTCTCCAAACAGGCGGATGGCTCTTTTCTGGATAGAATCCATCAACTTCAAGATATGTTTGGGGGCAGAGCTCCATACACGAGAACTATACTTCATAGACATATTGGTGTCCATTATAACCTTGAATAAATTTATCGAAGCAGAAAGCGGATTTGTCTAACCTGACTTTAGTATATCCGGTTCGAAGACAATTATCTCCTTGGGGAAAACCGATGCCTGTTTTTGTGACATTGAATTGAACCTGGTTGATTTAACTTCAATTCAAAATCACTTCTAGATCCTCATCAAGATATTACATATTCAGATATGTTATATTTCGTGAATGATCATCAAGGCCGATGAACTGCACCAAAATTGGAGATTGGGTAGTTGAAAGAGATGATTATCTCGAGATTTGCCTTCAAGATATTCACTTTTTAGTCTCGATACAGTGTTCAGACACGGTTTAATCCCTGTTAGATTGTTGGTAGATGGGATGTTTCTTCTCCACTTGGGGCTTTTCTCGCGAGATGGAGCTGTTACTAGTTAACAATATATGTCTTAGATGAAGGTTTGAAGCATGCGTTGAAATTAATCGAGTCCCAGACACTTTGCTGTTCGGATCGGATATTTCATATATTGACGAGAGGAAATACTTCGAATAATTTCACAAACTACACCTCACGATTTGATCTCCACAAACGAAGTATGTGGAGAAACTGGTAGACATTTCGAACACCTTCTCTAAAGAAATATATCTCATTGTTTCTTCTGTCTCATTATCATTATTGCTGGAGTTTTATTCATTAGTAGTAATTGAAGTATAAGTTGTTATCAGTAGTATTGAAACTATGCATTTTAATTACTGCAGTGAAAAGCTCTCTCAACATTTGATAGCTACTACTGAACAGTTTCTATTTGTTTTATTGCCGAGTTTTCCAAATGCTACTTGATCAAAGTGTGCGTTTCAAAGACTACATGAAAAATCTAAAAGCTCTGTATTTCAAATATGATTTTAGCAAAACATCAAGTGTGCTACATTTAAGGAAAGGCAATTTCAAGCTCTATTGAAATATGCAAGAATATATAGGGTATATCATCAAAAAAAAGTTGAAACCATTGAATTATACGTAAAAAGCGCTTTGGAAGTGTTTTCATAGGAACAAGAAATTTTTTACAAGAAAAAAGTTACAGCAACTATTCGAAATTGCACATTGCTGTAACTCAGAAACGATGATGAATATCGATAATCAGTTTTCACCATTGAGTTTGTCATAAAATTTAACTCCCATACACAGCCAACAGTTTGAAAACAATAGTTTCCTTTAAATATGTCCAAATATGTCCAGATATTTCATTCAAAATCGCTTATAATTTTCATCAACCTGTGACAGTCTCCATAAAAAATAAGGATGGTAGAGATACAAATAATAACAATATCTCACCTGAAGAAAAGAATCTGCAGGTGCCCCTTGTAATATTTTGAGCAGGTCACTTGTTTCATTCGAAGCAAAATTTTTATCCAGAATTCGTCCACAATTGAAAGCACTTTCTCTGGGATTTTCTTGTATGATTCCACCAGTAGGTGAGCCACTTTGCATGATAGCAGCCCGGAAAAGCTCTGAAAATATGTTTACTGAGTACTTAAAGAACGAATTTTCAACAATATTAATAATGTAGGAGATACAAAAAAGCAATTTGGGTGTTGAACAGAATGTTGTATGTTGATGTTCAACATCACATACAAGATTCGTCTCAAGTTATTTTCCACTATGAAAAGCAGAAATTAATTTAATTTGGTCGATACGACCAACCGATTGACCGTTTTTTTTTGGAGTTTTCCACTATATGCACCTCTTCGGAATATTAATTATTATTCCGACTCCCACCCTGGAGTATTTGTTTGTGGTGTTGTTTCCTGGCTTTGTCTGCAGGTGTCGCAGTGAATATCTCACTGAATCAACTGCAGAAAGAGTTCATAACTAGCTGGAATTATATTTGTTTGGTCGTGATACTCAGACGATTCAGTCCGTTCTGAAGAGACCATGCCCGACCAAATAGAATTAATTTCAGCTTTTCATAGTGGAAAATAACTTGTGACGAATCTTTCAAACGAAAGACGTTGCACAGGTGCCTGATGGATTTAATTCAACTTTCTGGGCGGCATTAGCTGGGTGACTTGTTATTTCTCTGTCGGGTTTCTGCCACACGTACTTACAAAGTCGTAGATTCATATGAGAGGCAAGGGGTAAGGTTTTTTTCACCTGAACTTGAACTAAATTGTATTAAACATAGCACGAGTGAAGTGATTATGTCACAAAGTGCAATAAAATTCACATAAGTTCATCAATATATCAGAAGTCTGTTGCTTGAGTGCCATTCAACAATAGGTCTCAGGCCTTTTATTGGAATAGATTGACGAGTTTTCCAGATCATCGAAAATACAATTGCATATTTTAGCGAGTCCCTAGGATAAGCAAGCAAGATCATCAAAAAGAATATTTCAATTGAAGTCAAACATTTTTAAAATGTCACAAACTATCAGAAATGTCATTCTGTATTCCCGAAAAACATTTTTTTTGTCGTTTGAAATCACCATATTGAATTTTCAACAGTTTCATCAATTTTGAAATTTTTCAGCTGTAATGTTATGCCCCAGAATTGATAAATAACGTATCAAAACTGACGATTGTCCAAGGATTCTATCTAACCCTCAGTTGAAGTATTGACATCGACGACAAAACTAAACCCAGTTATAGTAATGTGGTCAACTTTCATTGTTACCAACCTCTTGACACTATGTTTTGTGTGCAACACATTCAAAAGTTAAAATTTTCTGTAAAATGTTACTCTTCCCGACTAAATCTTCCACAATTCGAGCAGGAACAACACTGCCGTCGGCATTAACGGATCCGTTTGCACCTTTGCTTCGACTGTCTCTAACAGACCACTGTTTCGAGTTGTCAGGTCGAAGACATCATTTCAGCTAGCATTATAAATACGTTTCCTCATGTCTCGGCCCCTTTTCTGTAGTCTTACAACAGGGACTTTCGAACTTTGACAATTGATAACGGCCATCTTTTACATATGTGAAATTAGATGTCATTTATCCAGTATGTTTCACCAATATTCAACAGTTTGTTTGAAGGTGGTTGACAATGTTTCGTGGTGTATTTCATCAGTTCGGACTTCCATTGTCTAATATAATATAAATGAATTTGAAATCCCTGAAAAAAAATTAAGAAGATCAACCGAAAATAACAATTTTATTAAAACAAAAGACTGAATCTACAAAGAAATAACATACAAGCAACAACTCGTTTGGTGGCCTGGTTTTTGTGAGGCTGCTACGGATAGTGTTCCCAGATCTGAAGCAGGTCCTGATGTTATACTTGGACCCAATCCTTCTTATCCTTTCCAATAATCCTTTGATGTAGGGAAGTACAAGTACTGGTTGTGGCAGCTTCTTTTCCTTGTGAGACTCTTGCTGTGTTCTAGCTAAAGCCTGTTCTACCACCACTCTGGAGTAACCATTCCGTTGAAGGTCATTTTTGATGATGCCTAGTTCCTTTTTGAAACGTTCCTTTATATTACAGAGCCAGAAAGCACGGTCTGATAGATTCTTGATGATTCCTCGCTTAGTCGATTGATGGTGGTTGGATTTCTGGTTTAGATAGTGTCTTATGTGAGTGGGTTTTCGATATACAGATGTTTCTCACTTAGTGTCTGTCCTCTTCACCAATATGTCTAAGAAATGTTGATTCGTTGTGAACTTCCTTCTCCATTGTGAAAGTGATGGAAGGTCTAACGTTATTGATGTGCTTCAGGAAAGTGTCTAGTTCTGCGGTCCCATGGTTCCATATTATGAAGGTGTCGTCTACGTATCCCAACCAGACTCGGGGCTTCTTGTGGGCTTCTTTGATAGTCAGAATTTCGAACCACTCCATATATATATATTGGCTATAAGTGGTGAAAGTAGCGATCCCATTGGCAGTCTCTCATCTTGCGTAAAGAATTCGTCCTCCAGCTGGAAATATCAGTTTCGTACACAGCATCCCAGTAATTCCATGATTACTTATATCGGTAAGTTTATTCTATCTTTCAGATCCCCATCTTCGGATAACTTCTTGTGTATGATTTGAAGTGCTTCTTCGACAGGAACATTGGTGTAGAGGCTTTCCACGTCGAAACTGATCTGTTGGTCCTGCTCTTCTACTTCAATTTCCCTTTGTAGTTCAACGAAATGCCTTGAATTTTTCACAAAAGATGATGTTTTACCTTGCAGTGGTTCAATTATTGGTAGTTCTGAGTGGCTGAATCTCTGGAGCTAATTATCGGTCTGAGCGGAACATCCTTTTTGTGGATTTTGGGTAGTCCATACAAGTGAGGGGGCTTACTGTGGTGCGGTGTTAGCGATGATCTCTAATTTTCCGAAAAATAGACTTGGTGTTATCACCCGAAGATGATTATGGATACTAACAATCGAAACGTCGTGACGTAACTTGGTTTGGAATCTTTTTAATTTTTATTTTTCATTTTTTGTTATTAGTATTTTTTAATTTTCAGCATTCATTAATATTTGAATTTTTTATTTTTTTTAGTTGTTGCTTGTATATTATTTCTTTATAATGTCAGTCTTTTGTTTTAATACAATCGTTATTTTCGGTTAATCTTTTTAATTTTTTTTTCAGGGATTTCAAATCAATTTATATTATATTAAACACTGAAAGTCCGAACTGATGAAATACAATATTCAACAGCAAACTGTTTTATCAAAATGGGTATTCTGTAAGGACAACGTACCGCGCACTTCGCCCATTTTACGGTCGCCATAATTGTCCTGTCAAGAGGACTAGTTGCAATGTGGTGATCAAATCAATAATTTTGAGTCCACTGGTTCAGTAAACGATCGAACAATACCGTACGTCGATGAAACACAAGATCTGCCGAGGACATCGCCGCTATTTGTGAGAGTGTGCAAAAGAATTCGAGGCAATTGATTTCGCGTCGCTCATAAGAACTCGGCCTACCGCAGACCACAATTCGCCGAACTTTGCATCGTAACTTGGGCTTGCACTCGTACAAAATTCAACTGACCCAGGAACTGAAGGCTAAATAGGCTCTGGAGCACTTGCCATCTGACCCTAATTTTCATCGAACAATCATCTTCAGCAATGGAGCCCATTTCTGGATGAATGAGTACGTGAACAAACGAAATTGTCGAATTTGGGACAATACCAATCCACATGAGATCCAAGAGCGTAAAATGCGTTGGCCAGGCCATCACTGTTAAAGTCGATAATCATCGACTCCTTTAGGTCTGAATTGTATAATCTGGACATCAAAGACATGTGGTTTCAATAGAACGGCACTACGTGCCACACAGCTCATGCCATATTGGATATTCTGCACGAGTAATTTGAGACCATGGTCATCTCATATGGAGGTGATGTGAACTGGCCACCGAAATCGTGCAATTGGACCCGTTAGACTTTTTCTTGTGAAGTTTTCTTGAGTCGCAGGTGTATGCGAACAATCCACAAACCAAAGCGGTCCTCAAAGCCAATATAAATCACACCTTCGATCAGATTCAGCCCGATTTATGGGCTAGATTCATGGAAAATTGAACGTTTCGGATGCATCCCACTCAGAAATGCCGTGGTTGATATTTTAACGATGTTATATTTTGCACATAATGACATCAAAAGGTCCTAAACGAATGAAAAATTTTGATTGAAAGATTAGTTGGTAACAGAATCAGATAATGTCAGAAAAACAATTGTTTTCTTGCCAAAGTTCCGAATTGAATTGATATTTTTAGGTCATCCGCAACAATGAATTTTGAAGGATTTATTTGCCACATACCATGTTGAAAATATAACTGTTTAAAATCTATTTTTCCGTTAATCAGCTATCGCCCACCATACGAAAGACAACTCTCAGAAGTTGAAAAACTTTTAACGTGTGATTCCTAACACGGTTGCAGAATCATCCCAGCTTCAACCAGATAAATTCTCTCCAGAAAAATATCTGATCGTGGCAGGAATCGAACCTACGGTCTTCCGATCGTGAGTCGGCCGCACTACCACCGCGGCCTATTTCACAACTACTGGATTGAGAAACCATCAGACGTGTTAGGTATATATGAGAAATAAAGAAACACTGTAGTAACTGAATATCCAAAACCAACACAACAGAATGACATGAAGCAAACGAATAGTCTTCCCTATAATTTTTATACGGTGGTACCTGTTTTAATTGTTGTAAGAAAGAATTATTATAGAACCTAATTATTCCGGTATTTCTAAACAGGGCCGTCGCCATGGGGGGGAGCCCCAACTGCTTTCTCGACTTGGAAACAGTTGGAAAATTTTGGGCCGTGAAGATAGAAAAAAATAATAGTAAACCAGAAGAAGGTTGGGATTTCCCAACATGCATAACTTGGAGATCCCATAATTTGAAATTCTGAGTTGTTTGAAAACTTCAAAAAAGTTTAATTTCTCCCAAGTAAGAGAACAGTCCTGAACAGTCCATAAATTTTGAAGTGACAATGAAATAACCCCCACCGTGGATCCAAACGAGAACTGGTAACTTCTTGAGATCACTTCCAGGTTTCTGAAATATTATTAATAAATCTTCAACTCGCTCAAATATACAAGGTGGGGCACCTCATACGACACGGTTCCTGTAAACCAAAACAATTTTTTCGAGAATTTCTCCATTTCATTATATGTATATTGACTAAGGCTGAAAAAAAGGAATTTTTTTGTAGTCTACAGGGTAGCTCAAAATAAGTGTAACATATCAAAGTTGTGTTTTTTCAAATGAAATACTCTGTACGAAATGAAATTATGTTATTTTTTTACCTATTCAAAAGTAAAATGGAATACAGGGTGTTCTATTCGAAAAAAAAAAAACACAACTTCGATATGTCACACTTCTTTGAGCCATCCTGTAGCATCCAAAATGATTTCCTTCTGCAGCTTTAATCAATGAATATATAATGAAATGAATAAATGTAGAAAAAATTAACTGTTTGGATTACAGGGTCCATGTCGTGGTCCTCTATTATGTGTATGAAGAACAGTGCATGTTATTCAGACATACATATTTGACATTGATCTGGTAACATAGCATCCACATTCTATCTGAGGTTTGTCAAGCATCGAAAGTTGCTGAGGTGTGTACAGTTTTTTGGTTCGAAACAGTGTTCCAAGCTTTTGAGAAGCAGCCTTTGCAATTCCAGCGACATGATTGTGCCAAGACATTATGGTATTCTTTCCAACCCCCAATTATTGTTTTTTTATTCTAACCGTATATTTTAAAACGAATTATCAGATTTCAGTGACTGCGTTTGATATTTTGGAACAGGTGAATTCTCAACTTGCGGTTGAAAATAATTCAAATACCACTGTGACTCAACAAGAAACGGTCACATAATTCAGTTTTTTTTCAACAGTCATAGAAGTATTTTCAACCAGCTGATATTCACTTGATATCGTTCATTTGAATTTTGAAAACTGAAGTGTTGAATCATGAATTTGGAATCTTCGTTTGGCGACATGGAAATGATTGAAAAAATAATTCTTCACGGAAACAATAGTTATCGAAAGAAGATAATCACTCACCAGTGGTGTATAGACATTGATGTACAAACAGTCTTCTTTGATTTCAAGATTACTATATTTGGAAATGTTTTGGTAACACACTCTCGTGTTTTTCGTGGTATCCAGTATTCCATTCCAGGGTTGGACTTTCTTGGGAAGCTGAAATATTGGAAGAGTAATTTCATCAGCTAGTAAGTTACATCATTGAGAATACAGATCGGTAACTATCAATTCGATATCATCATTAAAATGAGCAAGGATTTCGTTGCAACATGATGCAACCAATAGCAAATCGTTGAAGACATGTAAGTCAAACTCTTGAATAAATTGAACAAATTTTATCAGTTATTTTTTGATTGAAAAAATGGATTCTTGAACTATAACTTGTTCAAAACCTTCAAAACATTGTGTTGTATTCTGTATTCAGTGGTACTATTTTTGAGTGATGTTCCAAAAATTACAGTAACCAAATCATGACATATGGATGAAAAATCATCACTTTTCTCAGTAAAACACAAAGTGAAGTGCTTCATTTTCCAATGAAAATAATATGCGATTGCGACTCACTTGTAATCTGTTTTCACCAACAGGCGGTGCAGCGTATGGGATTTCTTGGAAGGCATAGTAATCGTTGCCATTTTCACTTTTCAGGATATGTCCACGGATTTTACCTTCCCTAAGTTGAACTATGGTATCGTCGTCCAGTTTCTGCAACGGAAATGCTGTATAGAAAGACTAGGAGTCAGCGGAGGACGTATTCAGTTCTACGATTACAGTTTTGTTTCACAATCAATACGAATTTTAACATTTCTCTTGAAATATGAACATTCCTCAATTTTGTCCCAGTTTTTAATTGAAACTAGCTGAATTATTTCCGTATATGATCAGAAAATGACCAGGAATTATTTAAGGAAATTACGTTAACTTTTACAATATTCTGTCTGAAATCAAAATAGTTCTGAAGACTGTATCGGGAAAAATACATGCACATAAGGAAATAAATATTTTGTGATGAAATTTCGGAACATTTGTCTCTCCCAACATACCTACACAATAGGTTCTGGTAAATGCCTGTAGGAAAACAACTACTTCCCAGGCTAGTACCACGTGGGATAATGAATTATATCTGACAAAAATTTAGGCAATATACCTTCTAGAGGTTAGTCTTTCAGATATTTGTCGTTCATCCAGCACCAGGACCATGCTGGAATCACACGAGTAGAGTAAAGGTTGGAAGAAATTCCAAAAATTGATAGCCTACAAACTCGAATAAGAATAGTGACTATACCTTTGTTAATTGAACATTTTTTTAGAATTCAGGAATAACATAAAAATGTTGATAATGTTCAGAGTTGGACCTTGGATTATTTCTTTCTTGAAGTGATATTTGTCTTTGAAAAAAGTCATTGCTGGAAAATGTTCCAATTAATGGCACATGTGTCATAATTCAATTATTAACTTACTCATAGTTAGCATACAGTGCATCTTGCTTATCAGTCTCGGAACAAGTGTTAACTCATTTATCGGGTATTTCATTCAAATAGTTTTTCAATAGTATTTTTCCACGTGAATGAAACATCATTATTATTGATAAATTGGTTGAGTCTTTCGCAGCCGAGATTTAAGTGTTACTTTCTTCATTCGAGTTTGAAGTTTGGAACTGCATTCTAACGTTTTACCAGCACGAGTGGCTGGCTTCTTCAGAGGTTTACTCATCTTGATGAATCATCTATGACATCATTATTATTATTCACGAACAATCAAAGATGTTGAAAAATTTAAATGAAACTATGATTTTTTCTCCTTGTCGGTCAAATTTACATCATTTTGTTTTTTTTACCATTTTTAATTCCTTTGTTAGAAAAATTATGATAAACCAATGCATTGCTCATGAGGTAGTCAATTTTTATGGTCTCTAATAATCTGATCAATCTAATATATAAAAATGGATGTTTGTTGGTTGATTGGTAAGTGATAAACTTCTACATCGCTCAACCGATCGTGATGAAACTTGAGATGTATAAGTAATTTTTCATAGAGAAGGTTTTTATGCTATCAAATTTTCTGTAACTCGCCACTAGATGGCGCTGTAGAACAATTTTTTGAAAGCACTGTTCTATAACGCTGCGCACACCTAAGTTCGTTGATTCTGTCAAAACATTGGAACATCAGCGATACAGCAACATAGTACTAGTCGAATATATGATAGAGGAAATACCATTTGTCTAATTTCCACCAAAATTTTTGTTTTTTTTCTTATTAGTCAGTGGGTTATGCTTGAAGACTGGCAATGAACAAATAAAGCAAATGAACTTCAAACGATCAAGCCAGTCTCGATATACCTACACAGTAGGTTGAATGGACTGACACCTATCAGAAAACAACTACTCCCCTGGCTAATACTACGAAGGGCGTTGGATTATATCCAACAGGCGTCAGTGCAGGAATCTTCACAGAAAATTCCTGCATATGCAATTGGCAATACACCTGAAAGAGTCGACTTTCAAGTGTGCCCGTTCCAAAATGGGAGAGGTGTTATTCCACCTCAAGATAAATATATATCTCTTCAGCATCTAGATGGTGCAATATGCTTTCATGTATGAGGTGCATAATATCTCCGAATCGTTTCCTTTTGAGATGGACCGTTGCACAATCATCTATTTCTATTTCCATACCTAAAGTATTCGCGTATTGTTTCATCATTGTCGAGGACTGAGGAAAATTGTCATTTCCAGATATACCACATAGTGACCTTATGCCTTCTGTCTCCGGGGTTGCTGCAGCTATATTCACAAGTATTTATTAGAGCCACTGATAAGGACAATAGTGAGATGCCGAAAAGAAGAATGACAGCTTTTTCCAAAATGAACTGCTATGTGTGGACTTCACCTTGACCAGATATTATGGTAAGGCGAGTCTTACAGTCGGATACTCCAAGGTATCTGAGCAAATACACGATGAGTTCATGGAACATCTTATCAAATGGCTGGTGATAGGTTAGGCTGAGAAAGTTCTCCGTACAGCCAACTACAACTCTTTTTGACCTTCTCTGCTCATATAATCGTGGGAATACTGCGGAAAATATTCGTGTATCTGAGATGCTGGGAAAGAACTCATAATATCTCAGGATTTCAGAACTATCTTTCAACACTCGACCATAGTGTACGAAAATAACATCACAAACCAGAGTGAAGATGAATAGTTGATAATTATATCATTTTTAGTCACTACCGTTTTCTAGTATGATCTCGGTGGAATAAGAAAAACTCAGACTCTTTCGAAAAATTTTGGGAGATTAGAAAAACTCAAGCTGTTTTTTTGGTGATATAAATCACGTATGCAGAAAAATATTGTTATTGAAATCATGAAAACAAAATGATTATATGAATAATGGAGATGATGCTGTTTATTTTTTCGAAGATAAGATCTCTCCTACAGTTAATCGATTATGATTCTCGTTATCTTCCATTGTGAAGTGAGGTGTTTTTCAAGATTTGAAGAATCAAAAGTTCTGATAACATTGATAAAATAACTTCAGATTAAAAGGATGTTTTGAAGGACTGCTCAAACGTCATTGATTATTTGTAAAAATTGATCAATTGACATGATTTTATATCTATTATCTGGGGGTTTTGTAAAGGTTATTTCATAATGAAGGGCTTGAAATTAAAAAACTGATGGAGTGTTCACTTTAGTTTATTGTTCTTTTTGCTCGATTTGGATTTTGAATTAACAATTCGTCGAATGACAATATAGTTTACATATTATACACAAATATTTTTGCAATATCAGCAAAACATGGTTGACCTAGTTATAAGAAAAAATGATCAATGTACAGGGTGTATATATATGAATGAATATTTTAAAGAATACGTACACTTATCTAAAGGGCACTACATCTCCCGCTTTTGGAAGAATGAACTTCATTCTGGCCGAAAATGAAGATCATTCTTACGAATACGAAAGAAAATAGGGGACATTGCCGACCCTTTTAAAATTACAGTTAAAACATTTTACAACTTGATCTATTATGCAGGCAGAGTATAAACGAAATGAAAAACTATTTTTTTTTTGTTTTCAAGTAATTCCCTTCTCCTAAAATTACCAAATCCCCAGAAATAGATACTAACTAAAAATATTTCATTACCCCTACTTAATTAGTAATACTTAAACTTAAATTACAGATACGTCTACTATAATTTAGTAGTCTGAACCACGCACTATTTGTGTTTTTTCTTCACTGTATATATAAGTGCACTGTGTTTTTATGCACTGTTGTAATTTTATTGTCTTTAAGGTTTTTTAGTTTACAGTTTACATTGTCGCAACTAACGATTGAGTATGGGCCTTTATACCAATGATCAAACTTTGATCTATTTTCGTTTGTTATCGTAACCAAATCTCCAGGGTTTAAATTAGGGGATTTTAAATTTCGATCATATTCAATTTTACGTTTCTCCTTTTCTCTGATTAAAAAATCTCAAGCCTTTTGGTGAGAAATTTGTAAACGATGTTCGAGCTCTGAATAATAGGCGTCAGGGTCTATTTTGTCAATCAGTGCGTTTGTCAGTTCGGGTCTTTTTCCAAAAACTAGTTCGAAGGGTGTATAGTAATGATATATACTGGGGGTCGTATTGTAACAAAAACTATAAAATTTTATCCATTTGTCCCAGTCTGTGTATGTATCGTTAACGTACATTCTAACATACTCGTTAAGTACCCGACGATTTCTCTACAGCCACCTATATTCTGGTGATGGTAGGCAGAGAAGAATTTTTGTTGGATATCTAGTAGTTTACACACTTGTTCTAATACTTCGTTTTTATCGTTTGTTTTTAGGTGATTGACAATGTTTCATGATGAATTTCATTAGTTCGGACTTCCATTGTCTGATATTATATAAAATGATATGAAATTCCTGAAATAACTAAAAAAGAAAAAATTAAAGAAGAATAAAAATGAATATCTGAAAAAAAAACAATTAAATCAAGCAAAAAACCTGAAATGAAATAATGGTGAAATACNAACTTATCTGCAATTAGTTTTTTATCAAGCAACTTGTAATTAACGACTAATCTCCATTTTTTTAATCTCCGTTATCGGACTTTTTAGGAACCGGTAAGATGGGGCTATTGTAATTAGAAATGGATGGTTTGATAATTGAGTCTTTTAACATTTTTGATTTTTGTTAATTTACCTCTGAAATTTGTGAGTGCGGCATTCTGTAATTTTTAACTTAAACTGGAATTTGATCTGTTAGTTTAAATTGCTGATTATAAAAATTATTAATTGTTAGACTATCGTTTTCTAAACAAAAAATATCATTATATTCTTGACATAGGTTCAATGTATCCGCTTTTGCTATCTCAGGGATTTCGCAGTGTAATTATTTAAGTAATAATGTTTTACGCTGGTCATCGGCATACTTTTCAGATATATGCAATATATTGAAATTTCGTTAGTTTTTAGTTTCAATTTCAAATTTCTTAATTGTCACACTTTCCATTGTCGTGATAAAGATTTCAACAAATGGGCTATTCGGCGACGCAATACTGCTGGCTACAAAAATTCCTGGAGCCAATTCTTGGTTTGAAATAACTACGTCAGATTTTATATTACATAACTGCTCTGCTTTTCTCATAACTTCGCAACGAAGTGGAGTAATAAGAGTATTGTTGTATGGGCTATTAAAAATTGGCAAAATTACT